CTGCTGCTGCTGTTGCTGCTGCTGCTGGATTTGCTGCTGCGCCTGCGTCCTTCTCTCCCGCCTTCGTTGCTGTTGACCCTTTTGCTGCTGCTGCTGCTTTTCCTGCTGCTGCAGCAGTTGCTGCTGTTGCTACTGCTGAATCCCTCTTTGGTGCTGTGCAGCAATTTGCCTAGCCACAGCGCTGCCCCTTTGCTGCAGTTGCTGCTGCTGCAGCTGCTGCTTCTGCTGCTGCAGATGCCGCTGCTAAAGCAGCTGCTATTTCTACTCCTTCAGCCGCTACGTCTATTGCTGCAGCGGCTGCCTCTTCTGCTGCAGCTGCAGCAGCAGCAGCAGCACTTCCTGCTGCACTTCCTGCTGCTGCTGCTGCTGCTGCAGCGACTAGCACTCAGCGACGGCGGGCGGCTCCCCACCGCAAGTCAGTGCAGCAGGGCGCTGCTTCTTGGGAGAAGGTGGGGGCAGTGCTGCTGCTGCTGCTGCTGCTGCTGCAGGTCCTTGTTCTGCTGCTGCAGCAAGGCAGAAGGCTACGGACGCAGCGGTCTGTGCTGCAGCTGCTGCTGCACTTGCTGCTTGGAGCGCTGCCGCTGCCGCTGACTCAGCAGCTGTTGCTGCTGCTTCTGCTGCTGTTGCTGCTGTTGCTGCTGCTTGCAGAGCTGCCTCTGCTGCCTCTGCGTCCACACCCCCAAACAGCTGCTGCCCGTCAAGCTGCTGCTGGTGCTGCTGCTCTTGCGCGTTGCTGCTGTTGCGCTGCCTCTTGCCCCGCGGCGGTGGGGTGCAGCTGCCGTCTGCTGCTGCTGCTGCTGCTGTTGCTCCCACGCAGAGAGACGCAAGGGACACAGGCGCTGCTGCAGCAGCAGCTGCTGCTGCTGCTGTTGCTGCTGAACTTGCTAGGGCGGCCTCCCCGCTGCTGCAGCGCAAGGCCGCCGCAGCACTCTGAATTGCGTCTGCTGCTGCTGCTGCTGCAGCTGCTGCTGCAGCTCCGTCCTGGGCTCGAACTGCTGCTGCTGCTGCTTCTGCTCCCTGGGCGAGCGCTGCCGCAGCTGCGTCTCCTGCTTCTGCTGCTGCAGCAGCTGCTGCTGCTGCTGCTGCCTCCTCGAGCTTGGGGGGCAGCACCAAGCTGCTCTTGTCTCCTGTTGCTGCAGCACGAGTAGCAGCAAGAGACTGCAGCAGTTGCAGCACCTGGGGATTGCCGCAGGAAAGGTCAAGCGGGTTGTAAGCTGCTGCTGCTGCTGCTGCTACTTGGGGGGAGTAGGGGACCCCAGCCGCGGCCGACGCTGCTGCTGCTGCTGCTGCTGCTGCTTGGCCCTTGGCCAGCTGCTGCTGCCCGTCTGCTGCTGCGCCACTCGCGTGCTGCGCGTCTCTCTTTTGTCCCCTTTTGCAGCGCGAAGGTGGCGTTGCTGCTGCTGCTGCTGCTGGTGCTGCTGCTGCTGCTCCTCCAGTTAGCACGGAACCTCCGAGGGGCAGCGCAGCTAGCAGCGCAGCAGCAGCAGCTGCTGCGTCTTCGCCCTGCGCGTTTTGCTGCTGCTGTTGCTGCGGCCCGCACCCTGCTGCTGCTGCTGCTGCTCGGGGAGGAGACGATCCCGGGGAGGCGCTGCAGCCGAGGCCAGCGAAGGAGCCGTAGCCCTGCAGACACCGCTGCTGCTGCTGCTGCTGCTGCCTGCTGCTGCTGTCTTCTGTGTCTGCTGCTGCCAGCAGCCGCTGCCTCCTTGCCAGTTCTTCTCTTAGTCTTCTTTCTACTCTTTTTTGGTGTCCACTTTTCCACCTTTTCTTTGTTGCAGGGGTTTGTCCCCTTGCTGCTGCTGCTGCTGCTGCTGCTGCGCTGCTGCTGCTGCTGCTGCCCGGCTCCTGCTTCAGCTCCAGCGGCCCGCTGCTGCTGCTGCTGCACAGCGAAGCCAGGGACAGACACGGCGCCCCTTTAGGAACCCCTGCTGCTGCTGCTGCTGCTGCTGGCTGCTGCTGCGCGTTCACCAAGTCCAGCGGGTCCCCCACCAGCCCGCCGCCGTACGACAGCAGCAGGTCCGACGTGTTTGCTGCTGCTGCTGCTGCTGCTGCTGCTGCTGCTGCTGCTGCTGCTGGCGCTGTTGCCGCTGCAGCAGGGGGAAAGCCCCCCTCAGAGTGTGGCCCTGACGAGTCTGCAGCCAGCGGACACTCAATAGGAGACAGAGCTGCTGCTGCTGCTGCTGCTGCTGCTGCTGCTGGTGTTGCTGGCCCTGCTGCCGTAGGGGTCCCCGCGCCCCCCCCTGGTGCAGCAGCAGGTGCTGTGGCTGGGTCGGCCGCTGCTGCTGCTGCTGCTGCTGCTTCTGCTGCTGCAGCAACTGTCTTCTCCTCCTCTAGGGCCCCACACGTCGCCGCCGGGAGAGAGGGGACGAAAGGCGACTGCAGCGGCTGCCGAGCCATTAGCCGGCTGCTGCTGCTGCTGCTGCTGCTGCACTGCTGCTGCTGCTGCTGCGTGGCTGTGCACACAGCAGCAAGGCGGGAGGGGACAACACGACGAGCAGCCTCCGACTCTGCTGCTGCTGCTCGTGTCGCTATTCTTGCTGCTGCCGCTGCTGCTGCTCGTGTCGTGTTCTTGCTGCTCCTGCTGCTCCTGCTAGTGCTGCCACTGCTGCTGCTGCTACTGCTACTTCTGCTGCTGCTGCTGCTGCAACTTAAAGCCTCCGAAGCACAGAAGGCCCAGCTCCGTTTTGCCCGTGCTGCCGGTGCTGCAGGGGGGCCCCTCAGCTGCTCCTGCTGCTGCAGCAGGGATCTGCTACTGCTGCTGCTGCTGCGGCTGCTGCTGCTGCAGCTGTAGATCTCACGTACCTCGGGTAGGAGAGTTAGGCGGCGCGGGGAGACGCGGAGCGCAGAAGCTGGGCAGCAACGGTGGCGCTGCTGCTGCTGCTGCTGCTGCTGCTGCTGCGCAAAAGAGCGGCTTGAAAAAACAGCGAAGGGAGACCCCAGCTGATTAGATTACAGATAAGAGTTTGGGGTCTGGAGGACCTGAGGGCAGCAGGAAGGCACTGCTGCTGCTGCTGCTGCTGCTACAGCGGAGGGAGGGGGGCCTCTGCTGCAGCAGCTCCTGCTGCTGCTGCAGTGGGGTTCACGGCAGCCGCAAGTGAGGCAGCTAAATGTGTCTGCTTCTGAAAAACTCAAAAAATTAAAACCGATGTGATAGCGATACTGGGAACAAAGCCTTGCGGGCTGCTGCTGCTGCTGCTGCTGCTGCTGCTGCTGCAGTGGGAGGGGGGCCCTTGGTGGTTTGCCTCTGCTTGCTGCTGCCGCTGCTGCTGCTGTTGCTGCTACTGCTGCAGCAGCAGCTGCTGCAGTAGCAGCAGCTT